AGAATCTGTTCAGTATTTGAAGCAGAATTATGAGGGGTCTTGGAAGGTTTAAAACATGCCTGGAATATGGGAGCGTGTCGCATCATACTCGAAGTCGATAATAGAGAAGTCTTCCGGAATTTAAACCAAATTGTGCTGAAACCAATTTCACCAACCATTTTACAGCACATCTAGGAGCTGCTAAACAGACAATGGCTAGTCTCGTTTTCTTTGGTTGATCAAACAAAGAATAGAGTGGCTGATTTTATGACGAAGATAGCCTACATCGATGATTTTGGGGGTCAAAGTTTCTCAACACCACCGATGGTTATAGAGCCGATACTTAGTAAATAATATTTAGGAGTTAATAGCTAGAATGTTTTATGTCCTTATTTCACCCAAAAAAATTATCATTACATTACACGAGTATAAGAAGGGCCAATAAGGTCCCTCTCGAAGATACTTAAATGGTGTTAGCAACTATTTCATGAATTACCATGAATAATAAAATTATATTATTACAAGGGTTAAGTATATATTACATCACTGCATCAATGACGGATTCAAAGATTTTTTTTTTAAAGTGGATACATATATATTAATAACACAAAATTTATGTATGGGTGTATATTAATAAAATTTTAAGGTGGACACAATTAATAAAAAAATAATTAATCCAAAAAACAGATTTCAATGCCCACCCTAAAGAATACATGAATCCGCCACTTATTACGTGCTTTAAAATGTTACATAGAATAATATTTGTTTCAGGCCTAAAGATATACATTTCCAACAGAAAAAATTTAGCTCTATAAGGGTTAAATCCACAATGATTAGTTAAACTAAAACATCAAACCATGTTCCTTCATCCCACCTGTAATATTATCTTCCAACTTGTTTCTCTTATGCATAAACTACGAGTTGCAGACAATCATTTTCAGAAACATAGGCAAATCAAGTGGTTCCTTTACCTTCATATATATAATATTGCACTGAAATTTCCTTTTATTATACAGTGATTTGCTTAAGTAAGTTAACTGAGGCAAACAATTAATGAAAACTAAATAAAGAATATCAGCAAAAACAAAGGCAAAGGAAAGTTCCCAGAAGCATCATTTGAAGTTATAAAATATTTTAGTACGAACCAACAACGTTACTACAAGCAATAGCTACTTCAAAGTACTCATACAATTAAAAAGGAATAGGGTAAAGTATACAAATGGTCCTCGACTATAGGATACTGTTTTGTTGAGTCTCTTGACTATTAAAAGTTATAAAATAGTCCTCCGACTATAGGGAGTTGCTTTGTTGAGTCCCTTGGCTATTAAAAGTTACAAAATTGTCACCCAACTATTCATTATGTTCCAAACTCATTCTTTTTTTGGTTAAAAATGAATAGTCGCCTGAGTTAGAGGTTAACATGTTGAATGAGATTTGATAGTTGTTTGAGATTATGAGATCAGATTTTATCATATCTCAGTCAGTAGTTAACGTTCAGCTCAGACGACCATTCATTTTTTAACGGGAAAAGACGAGTTTGAAACATAATGAATAATCGGGTGACTATTTTGTAACTTTTAATAGTTGAGGGACTCAATAAAGTAACTCCCTATTATCAAGGGACCATTTTGTAACTTTTAATAGTAAGGAGACTCAAAAAAATAATATCCTATAACCGGGGAACCATTTGTGTGCTTTACCCGATGCCAATTTACGCCAAAGCCATGAAACTTCATAGCTACTTCAATCCATATTGGCTTCTTCTTTTTTTGTTATTATACCAACAAAACATTTCCTTATTTAGTTTTAGGGTAAATTACCCAGATAGTTCCCCAACTATATGACATTTCTTTTGCGTCTCTTGATTATGAGAGATTATAAAACTATAGACTGCACGCAAAATTATGAGATTAAGCTTTGATGATAAACCTGGTGAATTTGCGCGTTAAATTTTTCATTTTATGTCAAAGTACCCAATTGATCAGTTAAAACTTTAAGGTGTTATCAATTTGGCTATATAAACATAATGGTTGTGCATTACATCTTTTTTTTTATTCTAAATACTCTCAATCATTTGACAATAAACGTTTGCAGTCGCTGATGCATTATATCTTTAAGTTTATGGTCCTAAGTTTGATTTTCATGTGACCAAAAATTTATCTCAAATTATTACCAATTAAATGATTATATATGATATGATATTATGATGTTAATATTTTTTTTTATTTTGTGACCAATCAAAATAATGGCATTGGCATTATATTATTGGAGATGACGTGTTATTATGGGATTTAATGATAGTGACTGACACTGACTTTTTTTTCTAATAGAGATTACTAGATTGATATCATCCTAAAATTAGGTAGCTCAACTGAAAGGATTTTTTTGAAAGAATATATACTTTGTATTGAGAATTCAAAAAATAAAGTACGTCACAACCAAATTTCTTATTAAAAAATCTCCCTAAATCTATTTGAAGAAAAAAGAGTGTGATTTGGCGTGAATGGTATAGGAAACGAGCAGCATCATTCACTCAATCTAACAACAATCGATGTGAAACATACGAAACAAATACGCAATACTCATAAACGTTCCTACAGCAGCAGCCCCAACCACCTCAAACGACCTACACAACCGTAATGACCAGAAACGGAGCAACAGAACACAGCTGCTCAAGATTTTACACGCCAGTACAACAACCTGCAGAGATCAACATAAGAATCCCACCAGCACAAACAACCGAGCATGAACTTAAATATACAATCAGCTCCCCAAAGCTATGGCAGTATCACCCAACAAAACAACAGCTAAACTAGACAAGGAATGTCTCTCTTAGCACCTGCAGACAGCCAACATAAGTAACCAGTTTCCCCATTCTCAACAAACTATCCCTGATGCAATAACAACCTCAAAACTCACAGCCTAATCACATCAAAGCACACCATATCAGTATAAAACAGAATATAACGAATCAACAATCAGCAAGATCAGTCTACCATCGAATCAACAGAGAACTATATGCCCGTAAAACAGGAAGTAATCGAATGATAAATCTAAAATCATGACAAAGAATCATTAACCACAAAGATTACTAATTAGCAACACCGGTCGGACGACTCCTTGCAGAAACCACATGCAAAAGTAAGTGTACTGGAACAAGAAACGTATTAGTGAATCAAATAATGGGTCTGGACATCCGTAAACCACTTTAGGGAGCCACACCAACAAGATCTGCTCCATATTGACAGTCATCGGACATCATACACAATGGCTTCCGGATTACAAACAAAATCATTAATCGATGGGAGTAACATTGGCCATAAAGACTTCGCCCAAAACCCAATTTGGATCATAGCCTTAAAAAAGATCTGATCTAACGAAAAAGAAACTCCCTTGAATCTGCTCTTATTTTTGCACAACCAGATTGTCCAACTCAAACCAAAGAAGCCAATTCTCCATAGATCCCGAACTCTCCTTGAAATTCTTTGCGAGAACCATGCCTCTAATAATTGTTTTACATTCCTCGGGAACTGAAACGATTTTTTAATAACAAAATTACAATGATCTAGAAAAATGAGTGACCATTTGAGAGTTTTACCCCTTTACTTTATTACGAGTTAATTACATCATATGCCCCCAAACTATAACCTTCATTTTAAATTGTTCCTTAAACTTTTGAAGATTCTAATTTGATCCCCAAACTATAACTCTCATCTAAATTAGTCCTTAAACTTTTGAACATTCTGATTTCATTCCTAAACCATGACGCTCTTTCTAAATTGGTTCCAAAACTTTTAAATATTACAATTTCACCCATAAATTCATCCAAATGTATGAATTTGGATGAATTAGTTTCAACCATAGTTTTAACCTAAAAAATTAATTGTATAGCTTGTATGAATTTGGAATGTTTAGAAAGTTTGGGGACCAATTTAGAATGAAGGTTATAGTTTGGGGATGAAATTGAAATATTTAAAAGTTTGAGAACTAATTTAGAATGATACTCATGGTTTATAGATGAAATTGAAACATTTAAAAGTTTACAAACCCACTTAAATGAGGGCCATACTTTGAGGATATGTGATGCAATTACCTCTAAAAATATATATAGTAAAAGGAAATGATTTCATTAATAAAATTGGATTCACATGAAATAAGAGTTTGTTCAAAGTACATCAAAAATCTATTTTTGAAATAATTTAAAATATAATTGTATGACATAATTGTTAAAAATATTTTTTAAATAGATAAAATATTTATTTTAAATATTTTTAAAAAATATATAAAACTGACATAAACAACTACAAATAAATGGTTTCATTTATTTTATTTATGAAAAAAAGATAAAATTTATAAATTTTAGTTTTGTCAATTATAACATTGAACTTTGATTTTCGTTTCATTTATACCAATAGGTTGCTAAATCGTTAACATCCATATCAAATGATGTCATTTTAGTGCGGTGTCTACGTCGATAATCGGCAACCGTCAGCCACGTCATCATGTCGTTAATGATTTAATGATTCAGTGGTATAATTGAAACGGAAATCAAAATTCAATACTATAATTAACAAAATTAAAAGTTTAGTGGTATAAACGATACAACAACTAAAATTCAGGAGTACCTGATGCAGTTTCTAAAACCATTTCGACAACAAACCCAGTATGTACCGAATGCGGAAAGCCATTGAACTGAAAAGCCCAAAGTTTTCAAACTTTCCTTCATATTATAAGATTTCGAACCAATCTTAATAATATTTTTAATAATAATAGTTCTTATAGACCATATATATTATCATATTTTTATTGTTGTTATCATGTACAACACAACGAACACGCAAATTATAACAGAAGCAAGATCTGCTACCATACTATAGATTCCGATAATTGAAGACAAAACTCTTGAATTACAAAAGAATCCAATTTGACAGTATAAAATGACCTGGAATGGATATTGTATTTCATCTGTCCAATATTGTTATGCAGCAAAACATTGTTCTGCTCTGTCTTGTTTAGTTTTGATATTCGAATTAAAGCTTTTGGTTACGTGCTGCTGTCCTTTCTCGTCCCTCCTGGTCCCATCTCTCTCGAGTTGTCGCCGCTGGAAGTTCCGTACTCGCTGCTCTTGAATTCTTGGCTGCCAAGTGCCAATTGTCTGAACCTCTGCATGTCAGCATTGTATAAACTGCTGTTGTACTCTCCACTGGCTCCAAAGATTGTGCTTTGGCCTGGCTTTGTTCCCTCATTCAGGCTATCCAGGGAGGAGTCTCCTTCCAGTATACGTGCTATCTGCTTTTCCTAATCATTTTGTCATTCAAACAAACCATTGTAACAAGCCAAGTCATCGATCATTGCAAACCTGGCTCATTTTCGGGCGCTTTCTCGCCGAATGTCGGATGCTTGCAGCAGCACAGGCTATCATGCGTTGCATTTCATTGTGGTTGTAGTTCTTCTCCAACCGCGGATCAACCAGCTCATCGAAGTTGCCATCTTCTAGTGCACGAGCCAAAAGTGGTCGAGCCTGTTCATAAACTACACCGATTAGTATTGGAATTCAATGTACTCCACTTTGGTAAATCATAGTGATAAGATCTGATAATGCATCAGAGAATATATAGAGAAACAGATACAGACCCAATCTACTAAGCTGTCGTCCATTGTAACATCAACTGGTTGCTTTCCAGTTATGAGTTCTAAGAGCATGACTCCAAATGAGAAAACATCGGATCTATCCGTTAACTTTCCGCTCGAGGCATACTCCGGAGCCAAGTACCTATATTCGATCAAAAGAAATCAAAACCTTTAGCAAAAGGGTTCCGATTTGCACTTTCCTCACACTAATTCATAAGACAGATCTTCATTTCTGCTTATAGATTCCATCCCTACCCGAATGTTCCCATCACCCGTGTCGAGACATGAGTGTAATTATCAGATGACAACTTAGCCAATCCAAAATCAGCAACCTATCAAATAGGCTATAGGTTAGCTTCACTAACATAGATATCCCAGGATACTTGAAAATTTCAATGGCGTATAGCAGACACTGGCTTAATTGTAAAAGAAGATACCATGGCGTCAAAGTTGTTATCAAGCAGAATATTCGCCGCTTTGATATCACGATGAATAATGCGAGGATGGCCTGCATTCATAATTCAATAAAGAAATGAAAACCTAGGTGAATAATGGAGTGGCAGGGAGATAAGAAACGGAGACAAGGAACTCCTTAGTTCTTACAATCTTCATGCAGATAAGCAAGCCCTTTCGCCGAGCCTAATGCAATACGAAGTCTAGTGGGAAAATCCATGACAGGATGATCCTTTCCTGCAGAGAGAAGTTGGTAATGATTTTAGGCCTAAAAAATTTAAAGATAAAAAGCAGTTCTGACAGTGATGGCCAATATATTATCGCCATTACTGGAACAATTCGAATGTCCATCCTTTCCTTTGTGGTCTGGTAATGCTAATTTTTTACAGTGATGGCCAATGGTGCAAGGCTTCAAGCTTTAATGTTTCCTTATGCAAATACCAACAGGAAAAAGGATAAGGAATAGTTTACCATGAAGATGGTGTTCCAAGGTTTTATTTGGAACAAAATCATACACCAACATCCGTTGCCCACCGGCAATGCAATATCCAACAAGCGACACAAGATAACGATGGTGAACACGGCTAATTATTTCAACTTCAGATTGGAATTCTCTCTCTCCTTGTCCACTACCGGTTTTTAAAGTCTTGATTGCAACCTCCTTTCCGTTCGGTAAGACGCCTTTATACACGAATCCGAACCCACCTTGACCAATCAGATTTGCCTGAGAAAATCCGTTTGTAGCAGCAAGAAGCTCCTCATAAGTGAAAGTGCTCTGATTGAATCCAATATTCATAGTTGGTGATAGAGGTGGCAGAGGAGGAGGATGGTGTGGGCCTGAGAACTGGGAGCTTGCTTCACTGCTATAAAATGGTGGTTGCATACCCCAGCCGCTGCCCATGCCGCCGCCACCTCCTGATGGTGGGGGTACATGTACAGCATGCTCTGGCACTTTCCCACTATGAACCCACGGAGAATTCTGATAGTTGTTATAATGGTCTTTACCACCAGCACCAGCTATAAAACATACAACTCAAAATAATTATTATCAGTTCTCAAATCATAACTTTTATATCAAAACAAGATCCATACAAGATTCAACAGATTATATCATCATGCATATTGAGTTTATACTCTTCATTGGATTTATGAGGGAATTAACTTCATGTCAAGTACATTTCATTTCATTAGTTCCATACCTTTAGGTTCATCATAGTACATCACTTTGGATTTCTTCCTCCTCTTCCGACAGCAACATATTATACAGATGATCACAAAAAGAAGCACCAATCCTACAACCACGGCTGCTGCTATAATAATTTCTGTATCTATGTCGTTGCTGGATGAATTTGAGGATGGTGTTTTGCCAGAAGAACCAACTTGCTTGTTGCCATTACTTTTGCGGGAATGAGAAGAACGTGGTGGGGAGTGAGTGTTGCCACTTTTCTTCTTTGCAGGAGGAGGATAGTAATCACTATCTTCTTTACGACCAGATGATTTTCCCGAAGGCAGAGGCGATGATTGTGATTGTGATGGTGGTGGTGAGTTTTTGGATGGTGAAGAGCTATCTTGCGATGAATTTGGTCCTGATGGAGCAGGTGGGGATTCTTCAGAAGGAGATTCCTTAGGAGACGTTGCCATTTTTGCATTAGCTTACAAGCTTTCCAGCCAAGAAACTCCACCCACTCCCTTATTTTGCCTGGCTCAAACAACTAAAGAACCCTGACCAAATTTCCAAGGTTAAAAGGGCAGGAAAATGTTGATTAAACACAGGATTTGTAACACAAACTACATGTTAAAGCTTCATCGAATTTGTAACATCTGATATTATGTTCATACAATATTGTTAACAACCTTCATCGAATTCGTAACAGTAACTACATGTTAAAGCGTTGATATTCAATGATGAAACCTGTTAATTTGATCTTACTACGTTACAATATTTTTTTATGAATGTCTATAGATGAAAAAAATGAAAAACAGAAATGAAAAGAGGAGAGAACAGAGGTACCTGAATGAAGAAGAAACAAGGGTTCTCAAAGGAAAGGGAGAGAAAATGTGGGTAAATTTGCCATAACTCTGGAAAGGGGACCCTGTCTTGCCTCCCCTATGTGGCTTCCTACAAAGCAGGAATTTTGGCTCTTTTTTTCTCTTTTATTTATTTATCTATTCTCTCTCAACCTCTTGTTGTCTCGTTGACACCCTTGATTCGTTTTTGTTTGTTATTTCTTTTTTAGTTCTTTTACTATTTCTTGGCATTGCCAGCCCTTTTTTGTTTGCTTTTCTTTTGGTTCTAAAACAGGTTCAAAAAGTATAGATTATCACCTTCAGCTGCAAAAACTCCTATATCTGTGTTTATTTCAACACTTGTAACCAAAAATGCCTCGCACATTAATAGAATCATTGACCACGTAATACAAGGATTGTATCAATTGATTGAACCAAGTCTCAAATTTTAATCTACCTTTGATTTTGAAGATCATATATCGAAATTTCTTTTATGATTGATTTCTTCATAGACCATAGACATTTTTGGATAATATAATGTTGGGTTGTACCAACTTGGAAGATGAAAGAGGAATTCACACCATGAGGGGGTGGTTTAGATGGAAAAATATTCAATCAATGTCAACAAAGATTCATAAAGTGGAGTTCCTACTGTACTAACAAGAGCTTTTTATTAGGGATGTAAAATCGGGTAATCGTTCAGGTTTCAGTCGGATCCAGTCAGGTCGGGTAAAATCAGATACAGGTCAAGTCAGGTAAATTTGACACTAGATCCAGATCGGGTTCAGGTCAGGTCAAATCAGTTCGGGTTATTTTTAGATTGATTTGACACCAGATCTAGATCTGGTTCAAGTCAAGTCATTTTCAGTTCGGATCGATGTCAGTTCAGGTCCGAAGAAGATAAAGACCAGATTAATTCAGGTTCGGGTGGACTTCAGTCGGATCTAGTTCAGATCGGGTCACATCATTGATAGATAAAATTCAAGTCGGATGTTTATCGGATACGGATTGAGTTCATGTCCGGTCGTTTTTATTTTGGATTAATTATTTTGCCATCTTTGGTGATTGTTGAATTGCAAGTTGTAATTGTATATGATTTCGAGTAAATTAAGAGAAAAATAAATATCCATGGATCAATTTTGTAAAAAATATAAATTTAAGGATAAAATTGAAGAAATGTAAAATTACAAATAAAATTTTAAAATTTAAATTAAACAACACACATAGGTAAGGGACTAAATCGAAATAAATTTAAAATTTGAGGTTTAAATTAATATAAAAATGACTAAATTAAACACATTTAAAAAAGTTATGGGCCAATTACAAAAATATAAATAACAACTAACAATGGGCCAAATGAAGATGCAAATATAAATTTAAGAACTAAATTGAATACATATAAAAGTGAAAGACTTAAAATTGAAATAAATTAAAAAACAAAAAAATATTAAATCGAAATAAATGCAAAATGTGAAGAAATAATGAAAAATATAGTAAATTACATTCATTTAAAAAATTGAAAAAAATATAATATATATAATATAAATTTATATATAAACATATATTATAAACTATATAATTATTATAAGTTATATATATAAATTATGTTTATATGAACTATATATGTAAACTATATATGTATAAACTATAAAAAGTATATAGTTTATAAACTATAATTTATATTAATATAGTATATATATTATTCAAGGTAAGTGGTGGAAGAAAACTATTTAAAATAAAGATTTGTGTGTGTGAAATTTTTTTATCTTATTTGGGAATTTAGAGGGAAATTGAGAATTTAAAGGAAAATTGAAAAATTTAGAGGGAATAGAAAAATTTGGAGGGAAATTAAGAATTGAGTATGTGTGTGTGTGTGTGTGTGTGTGTGTGTGTGTGTGTGTGTGGTGTGTGATATATGAAAAAGTATATG